ACCGCTTGGGTCGGGGCAGGTGGGGAAGTGGAGGTGGAGGCCGGAGCTGGATCCCTCCGTCCCCTCACCCTCGACACTTAGGGGCTGTGAAAACCCATTCTCAGATCTTCTGGCGGCACCTTCTTGTGGACCTCCAACCCGCTGCCGCCCACCCTTCTCTCCTAAAACAGACATAGTACAAGCTTTTTCTAAATTACCCATTTGCAAGGAATTTCACTGTCGCGGAACCTTAACTCTTCTCCAGTATCCTGCCAGATTTTGCAAAGTGCTGGAAGCTCACGGTATCTTTACGTTTCTTACTGTCCAAAAAATACATCTTTTGCAGAGTTCCCTTGGTGGTAGTTTGAGGCCAATTGCATGCCACTTAAGAAAGGGCTTCCAGGCCTCCTATTCCTCCCTCCCACTCTCTCCACCCCCCCCCCCATTTGCCTTGGCTCAAGGGTGTAATCTGTATAGTGCCTTGTACAAGTGAGCACTTGAAAAATATTGATGTATGATGATTGCAGCTCAGCAAGGTTCCTTGGTTCTATTACATTTAACAGACTGCACTTCAGTTTTCCATTTGCCTTTACTTATTCATGTTAGATGATGTGGGGGACCCATCAGTTAGTTGATTTTTGGCAGGTGATAAAATATTCTTGAAGGATATTATTATTGTTTTTTAAATACAAGCTGAGGTAGTATTAACTGATGAGCTTTATAAAGCTTTCAAATGATAAAAAGGATGCAGAGGGGGCTGCATACTTTTATAATTGATGTTTTAATAAATTTCTCAGTTTACACAAAAGCATCATTTAGAATTTCTAGTTAGTGTGAAAGCATCATACGTATGGATTTCTGGTTGTTTTAAATGTTTATTTATTGATTGATTTTGAGAGTGAGGGGCAGAGAGAGAGAGAGAGAGAGAGAGAATTGTAAGCAGGCTTCACACTCAGCATGGAGCCCAAAGCCTGGCTTGATCCCACCACCCTGGGATTATGACCTAAGCCAAAATCAAGAGTCAGATGCCCACCCAACTGAGCCACCCAGGCGCCTGTAGATTTCTGGTTATTTCTAAAAAAAAAATTAGTTTCTAATGAATTTTTAAAAAACTGTGTGTGTATATGCATCTTCTGGGATAAGACGGTGGAGTTAGATAGATGGTCACTTATAGATTACATTTAGGATTTTAAAATAGGGGAAACCACTAGAGTTGTGTAACGAAAGGAGATGAATTGATTATAGTCCAATTAAACTGATTTTTCTAAATATAAAGCAGTTGGCATTCTTTATTTAGATAACTTTGTGTCTAATTTTTGTGGTCTACCAGAAAAAGCAAACAGGATTTGCTTTCCTATAAAATCTGACTAATGTTGAGTAAAAATACTAATTTTTTTGAGTATTTATGTTGATATGAAAAGTATTTTCTGGTTAATATTCACGTTCACTGCCTTATGCCTTTGGTACGATTTGTTTATGAAATTGGAAGCACTTACGTAATGTGGCCAAAAACTTTTTTCATGTATTTCAAAATTAAAGGAAAAGGGAGACAAAGAGCATGCCTGACCAGGAGATTTTTGTAGAATTTTAGAGATGAAAATTTTAATATGAAAATGGAAAAAACATTAGCATGAATTACAAAGCATTTAGAATGTCATGGTGAATATGTATATATGTCTGGTTCTTCCTAATTTTTGTCCTGTGGAACTGGATAAATCATAGTAATAATTATAGGTGTGCACCGTGTTAAGTACTGTATAAGCATTGTTTCATTATATCCTCTCATCATCTTTGTGAAACTTAGTATTCGCCTTTTACACATGAAAAATCTGAACCTTGGAGAAACTAAGTGGTGTGAGGTCACACAACCAATGAGTGGGAGAGGTGGACTTTAAACCATGTTTCTGATGCCAGAACCAGTACAAGTATTTCTCAGAGTGGCCTTGAAACACTTGCTTCAGAATCACCTGAGGTGTTTGGAAAACAAAACAAAAGTTTCTGGGTTCTGCCCTCCTGAAGCAGGGAGAAGGA